GGATTTGGGGGGGGGGGTTGATAGAAATTGTGTGGTGACAGCTAATTAATTAATAACCAATTTCTGCTAAATAATTAATTAATATTTATTTCATACTTAAATAATGTCCCATACGAATTAAAAACTTTGGGATTGGGGTGGGAAAACACGAAAATTGGATGGAAAAACATCGGGATGAGGGGGAAAACCCTAAAATAAAACACAAAACACCAGGATGGGGTGAAAAAATATAAAAACCAGACAGAAAAGCACCAAAATAAAGGAAAAAAAACGGGATGAGGCGGAATTTTGGGATGAAGGATTTGGACTTTGGGATGAAGGATTTGGATTTTGGGATGAAGAATTTGGAATTAAGGTGTTGGAGCTTTTCCACCATGGAGGCTCCGAGCTTTTCCCAAATCACAAGGAGAAGAAGTCCAAGGTTCCGTGTCTGTAGGGGTTGGAAGTCCACACGAGGTCACTCCTGTAATTCGCCAACATTCAGCAAAACTCAACGTCGGCTGCCGCCAAAAGTTCCTCGTCCACCGGTTCCTCAAAATTCCAGGCGGATTCCAGCGGCGGCGGCTCCGGCTTGCAGCAGTCCACGGGGAAGGCATAGACGACCAGGTGGAGGTCACGCAGCTCCAAGGTTTTCTGGAGCAGATCCTTGAGCGTGGCTGTGGACAGGGGATTGCCGTAGACTCCCAGGAAACACAGGCGCGAGCAGTGGCGCAGCGGCGGCAGCAGCGCATCCAGATGGGAGTCGGCCATGCAGCATTCTATGAGATCCAGGTGCAGCAGCGAGGCTGAGGTTTCCTCCAGGAGCAGCCGCAGAGGCTCCAGGGGCCCCTGGGAGAAGTCATGGCCGCTCAGGTCCAAGCACTTGAGGCCGGAGCGTGGAAGCTTTGGGAGAGGAAGGTGAGGTCGGCGGGAACGAGGGAGCAGAAGGCCAATTCCAAGCTTTCCAATGGAGACTGGAAGTCGCTGGAGGGAGGGAAAAGGGAGAGGTGAAGATTGGTTGGGATTTGTGGGCAATGAGAGCTGGGATTGCGTCCATCTCTGTCTTGGGAAAGAGCTCCCAAGACCATCAAGGTCAAGGTTTGAGAATGATGGAATTGTGAAGTCATGTAGTGGAGTTATGGAATGACTGTGGTTGGGAAAGATCTCCAAAAACATTGAGTTTGACCTCTGAAAATCCTGGGATTTTGGAATGATGGGATCATGGGATTGCGGGATGGGTGAGGTTGGGAAAGAGTTCCAAGACCATCAAGTCTGACCTCTAAAAATCCTGGTGTTTTTGGAATGATGAGATTGTGGGATTGTGAGATAGGTGAGGTTGGGAAAGGTCTTCAAGAACATTGAGTTTGACCTCTGAAAATCCTGCGATTTTGGTATGATGGGATCATGGAGTTATGGAATTATGGATCCATGAGATGGTGGGCTTATGGAGTAGCGGGGTCATGGAATCATGGAATTATGGAATGGATGAGGTTGGGGAAAATCTCCAAGATTATCAAATTCAAGGATTGAAAATCATGAAATTATGGAATGTGGGATCATGGAGTTCTGGAATCATAATTCATGGAATTGTGGAATGTAGGATCATGGGATGCTGGGATCCCAGAGTTCTGGAGTCATGGAGAGACTCTTTGGCAGAGGAAGAGGAGGTCGGCGGGAACGAGGGAGCAGAAGGCCAATTCCAAGCTTTCCAACGGAGCCTGCAGGTCACTGGAGGGAGGGAAAAGGGAGAGGTGAGGATTGGTTGGGATTCACAGGGAGAATGTGGGGAAAGATCTCCAAGAGCATCAAGTTTGACCTCTGAAAATCCTGGGATTTTGGAGTTATGGGATCATGGAGTTATGGAATGATTGAAGTTGGGAAAGAGCTCCAAGAACATTGAGTGTGACCTCTGAAAATCTTGGGATTTTGGAGTAATGGGGTCATGGAATCAGGGAATGACTCAGGTCAGGAAAGATCTCCAAGACCATCAAGTTCAAGGTTTGAGAATCATGGAATTAGGGGATCACAGAGCCATGGAATTGTGGGATGGGTGAGGTTGAGAAAGAGCTCCTAGAACATCGAGTTCAACCTCTGAAAATCCTGGGAGTTTAGAGTTACGAGGTCATGGAATCATGGAATCACTTAGGTCAGGAAAGGTCTCCAGGACCATCAAGGTCATGGTTTGAGAATCATGGAATTATGGGATGGGGTCATGGAATTGTGGAATCAAATTGTGGAAATATGGAGTGGCTGAGGTTGGGAAAGAGCTCCAAGAACATCAAGCTCAACCTCTGAAAATCCTGGGATTTTGGAGTGATGGGATCATGGAGTTATGGAATGACTCAGGTTGGGAAAGATCTCCAAACCCATCAAGTTCAAGGTTTGAGAATCATGGAATTATGGGATCACAGAGCCATGGAACTGTGGAATGACTGAGGTTGATAAAGAGCTCCAAGAACATCAAGTTTGACCTCTGAAGATCCTGGGATTTTGGAGTTATGGAGTCATGGAATTGTGGAATGACTCAGGTTGGGAAAGATCTCCAAGACCATCAAATTGAAGGTTTGAAAATCAGGGAATTATGGGATCATGGAGTCATGGAATTGTGGAATCAAATAATGGAATTATGGAGTTACTCAGGTTGGGAAAGGTCTCCAACACCATCAGGTTTGACATCTGAAGATCATGGGGTCATGGAGTTATGGAATGGCTGAGGTTGGGGAAAACCTCCAAGACCATCAAGTTCAAGGTTTGAAAATCATGAAATTATGGGATCATGGAGTCATGGAATTGTGGAATGACTCAAGTTGGGAAAGGTCTCCAAGAACATCAAGTTTGAACTCTGAAAATCCTGGGAGTTTAGAGTTATGGGATCATGGAGTTATGGAATGAGTGAGATTGGGAAAGAGCTCCAAGAATATCAAGTTCAAGGTTTGAGAATAATGGAATTATGGGTTCACAGAGCCATGGAGTTGTGGAATGGCTGAGATTGGGAAAGAGCTCCAAGAACATCAAGTTTGACCTCTGAAAATCCTGGGATTTGGGAACGATTGGGTCATGGAGTTATGGAATAGCTGAGGTTGGGGAAAACCTCCAAGACCATCAAGTTCAAGGTTTGAAACTCATGGAATTATGAGATCACAGTGTTACATGGCTTTGCAAGGGTTCCTCAGGGTGAGAGAGAGAGACGAGAATCTTGGTCTCATGATCAGAAGGCTGGATTTATTATTTTATGATATATAATACATTATGACTATACTAGAAGGAATACAGAGAAAAGTTCAGAAGCTGCTAAGCTAAGAATAGAATAAGAATCTAAAAACAAGAGAGCTCTCTGTGAATCTGTCCCTGAGCTTGGTCCTGTGATTGGCCCTTAATTGTACACATGGAACATGAGCCAATCACAGGTGCACCTATTGCATTACACATCAGCAGATAATTATTGTTTACATTCTCTTTCTGGGGCCTCAGCTTCCCAGAAGAGGAAAACTCCAGAAAGAAAGGATTTTTATGAAAGAATGTCTGTGACAGTCTGTGACAGGGCTGAGACCAGAGCCCAGTGGATTCTGTGTCTACCATCACCTGTTGGGACAAAAAGGCCACTGATCCGCACCTTGGTGTGGCTGATCTCAAAGCCCATCCTGTTGTGTCCTGAATGGGGGCAACAGCTTGTCTGGGGCTCAGGCTGGCTCTGGCTTCTTCCCATCAGTGCCTGTCAGTGCTCATGCTTGGGCTTTGCCAGCCTTGTTGTGTCAGCTGCCCTGTCCCTGAGGGCGGGAGGGACTACAGAGGCTGGAGCCTTCCTTAGCTGGGAGAGGGACATCTTTGAGCTCAACAGGTCAGGGTACTGATGCTGAAAGCCCCATTGGGATCAGTTATAGCTTAAACTGCTCTGGTTTACAAATGGGAAGGCATTCCTTTGGTAAACTGCTGAAAGGTGGGGAAGATGTTCTTCTCTCCTGGGAATGCATCTCCCCATGCTTTGTTTCCTGTCAAGAGAACTCTTCAAAGGTCTGTACAAAATCAGTCTCTGTGCTGGCCACTTGTGCTGCAGAGCTGTCTGCCTGGTTGTGGTTGTTGTTACCCAGCTGACCACAAAGGGCTCAGAGCTCCAGGCACTGGGGCTACCTTTTGTATCTCCTGGAAGCTGGGATCTCTGCTTTAAAGTCGGCATCTTGCATTTTGTTTTCCTCAGGGAGAATGGTGAACCCCACTGAAAATCCCCTGATGAAATACACGCATCTGAAATATATTGGCAGCGGGTGAGTCAAACAGCAGTTACTCCTGCACAACCAATGGCCAGGTGTTTTTCTGGTGGAATGTCTATCCAGCGTGAAGTCAGGCCAGCTGCAAAGATGTTCACACACTGGGGATAGATTGTCCCATCTTTCAATGCTGCTTAGAATTTGTGAGTGGGCTCAGAAGGCATTGTCAGAGATGCCTTGCTACCAAAGTCTTGCCTGCATCAAGGAACAGGACCTGGAAGGTCTCCTTGTCTCTCAAGTGTGGGACAGCTCTGTGTTAATTTCTTTAGCATTTTTTGTATGTCTCAAAGTCATAGTGGCACACTAATGAAAAAAGAAGAAACTTGTTTGCCTGAAAGAGCAACCTACACCCTATCAAAGCTGTGAGATAGCAGTTCCCAGGAACAATTATTTCCCCTGGTTTGAAGAAGGAAACACTCTGTGGTCAGGATAGGAACCACAACGTTTAGAAAGAGAAACCCAAGAGGAAAGACTAAACTCCCTTTAGAAGTTGAACCCCAGTGCTTCAGGAACAGGCCCAGTGCCCGTGCTCTTGAGAGAAAAATGCATCATCTGCCTTCTGGCAGAGCCCTCCTGCATCCTGCAGGTTTTGACACTTCCAGCAGAGATCTCTTGTGTGGGCTGGCTTTCACTGCAAGATCTAAATGGCTTCTCCTTTCTCTGCTTCTGTTTTGTTTCTAGGACTTTTGGAGATGTTTATAGAGCACTGGACACTGCCGCAGGAGGAGAGGTAAATGTCAACAGCACCTGCAGACTCTGCTGCACTCGAGGGCTTTCCCCTCTGGTGTGAGCGGTGGCTGGAGCTTTGGGCAGAGCTGTGCTGAAGAGGCACAAGAAGCACAGACTGGTGCCAGCCCACAAAACACATTTGAGACTTTGTCCTCCTGAGCTGCCAGAAGGAAGGCAAGGAGGGCAGCGGTTCTTTTCAGAGAAGGACACGCTCACTCGCTCTCCATTGCTAAAACAAAGGTGGTGCCTTTGAGCACCTCACTGCTCTTTGGGGCTACAGCTTCAGAGTCCTGAATTCTCATTTCTGGCTGCCAGCAAATCCATCTGAAAGTTACTGGTAGTTCCGTAGCCACCTGCAGTGCTGCACTTGGGAACTGCACATAGGGAGAGATCTGCAAGGCGTCCCTGAAAGCCCTAAGCCCTGCCCATATCACAAGATGTATCTACAGAGTATTAAGGCATGGATTACTTCTTCTGAATCCTAGAAAGAGCAGCAGAGAGTGTGGTCAGAGGTTTGTGGGTGATAGTTGAGACATCACTGTTACCAAGTGGACAAGGCAAAATTTCAGTGGCCCCATGTGTTTCTGGCTCCCAAGGGAGCAGAGAAATGGGCTGTTGGAATGTCAGTTCCTAATTACTGCAGTGCCTAATCACAAGGCAGTTTGGCACAGCTCAGCTGTGTTATTGCAAAAATCACTTGCTCCACGTGCCTTGTGGTCTCGTGCCACCAACCTCTCAAGTTATTGATTTTCAATGTCGTTTTAGGTGGCAATAAAAAAATAAATCTTCAAGGACTGAGGAGGAAGGAGCTAACCTTTATTGAAATAATGATCATGAAGAGGTATAGGAGTCCCAATGTTGTGAGTTATTTAGACAGGTGAGAGGTCATGGTCTTATCCCATGGATGTGCATTTACATACAACAAACATGAGAGGTTAAAAACCCACTTTGGTCAGTGGCAGAAAGTAGAGTTGTTAATTTTTATTTATTCATATTTCTCTACTCATCTCCAATGGATGAGAAGAGAGTGCATCTTGTCTGCATGAGTCTTCCCTGGCACACCTACTTTGATAATTATTCCAAAATTATTCAAAACATGAATCTGGTGTAACTTCCTAACTCAATAGCCTGGAAGTTCACTGCCTCCACATTTATTTGGGATTGATTTTTTAAAGTTTCTAAAGTGCAGATGAACCATCCTAAAGTGGATTTCCCTTGGATTGTTGCCCCTCTTTGCCATTGCTATGCATGCCAGGAAGACTAGGTGCTTATTTCCAGAAACACCATGCCTGACACATTTTTTATCTGGGCTGCTTCTAAACTGCACTTTTCATTTGCTGCCCATCTAAGACATCTCCTTTTACAGAGCTGTGTCTTTCTTTTTGAGACTGCATAGATTGCAAACAATGCACAGCCAAGAGGGAATATCTATTCCTTTGATTCTGTCCTTGTCACAAAGGCATCTGGAAATAAGAAAC